ACTCAGCAACATCTTCCTCTGCTCTTCCAGGATGACAGCAACTCATCCTTGCTCAATAACTATATCCTGGGAGCCCAGCTGGGCCATAGACCTGTGAACAACCTCAGAGATCCAGTCAACATCAGCATCTGGCACAACCAAAGCCTGGTAACGTTGGGGGCACCCCCATGCCTACCCTACCCTTTCCCCTCTTGGGGTTCAACCAAACTCCACCCTGAGGAACCATTTCTGAAACAGTGGATGGAAATCCATCACACCCTGACATGAGAATGAAGCTGCTTCTTCTTCTTCTTCTTCTTCTTCTTCTTCTTCTTCTTCTTCTTCTTCTTCTTCTTCTTCTTCTTCTTCTCCTTCTCCTCCTCCTCCTCCTCCTCCTCCTCCTCCTCCTCCTCCTCCTCCTCCTCCTCCTCCTCCTCCTCCTCCTCCTCCTCCTCCTCCTCCTCCTCCTCCTTCTCCTCCTCCTCTCCTTCTCCTCCTCCTCCTGCTCTTCTTCTTCTTCTTCTTCTTCTTCTTCTTCTTCTTCTTCTTCTTCTTCTTCTTCTTCTTCTTCTTCTTCTTCTTCTTCTTCTTCTTCTTCTTCTTCTCTTCTTCTTCTTCTCCACCTCCTCCTCCTCCTCCTCCTCCTCCTCCTTGTCCTCCTCCTCTTCGTCCTCCTCTTTGTCCTCCTCCTCCTCCTCCTCTCCTCCTCCTCCTCCTCCTCGTCCTCCTCCTCCTCCTCCTCGTCCTCCTCCTCGTCCTCCTCCTCCTCCTCCTCCTCGTCCTCCTCCTCGTCCTCCTCCTCCTCCTCCTCTCCTCCTCGTCCTCCTCCTCGTCCTCCTCCTCCTCCTCCTCGTCCTCCTCCTCCTCCTCCTCGTCCTCCTCCTCCTCCTCCTCCTCCTCCTCCTCCTCCTCTTCCTCCTCCTCTCCTCCTCCTCCTCCTCCTCGTCCTCCTCTTCCTCCTCCTCCTCCTCATTCTCCTCATCTTCCTCTTCGTCCTCCTCTTCGTCCTCCTCTTCGTCGTCGTCGTCGTCCTCCTCCTCCTCCTCCTCTTCTTCTTCTCCTTCCTGTACTGCTGCTTAAATTCAGTGCTTGCTTGGTTCATGTGGCTGTTGCTTTACTGGTTGAACCACACTTCCAGCCTCACATTCTTCTGGTTATTTTGGAAATAGTGTCTCTTGGACTTTCCTGCCTAGACGGGCTTTGAACTGCAGTCCTCTGGATCTCAGCCTCCTGTGCCTGGCAAGGCCTTGTATTCTCTATGTCCCTCAACCTTTCCTTGCACTCCTGCTTTGCCACTGTTGCCCCTCTGCCTGCAATCAAGCCCCTGCTCTGCTTTCAAGGAAATTGACTTACCTTTTCAGGACTCAGCACCCCTCTCTACCCTCTGACCCTGGGGCTGCCTGCACCGTGTCCCCCATCCCTCCACTGTGGCTTGGCTATGAGTCTTTTCTCCCTCTGGGGCAGGAGCTGAACTTTATGTGCCCCCTTTTTGGTGGGAGGATGGAGGAGACAGCAGCTTCCTTGCTTCTGACGGACAAAAGGGCAGTGTCGGGCCCTCAGAAGTTGTACGCTTTTATTTCCCCCCAGCTAATGGTATGGAGGGCACACACAGGCTTGGTGACTTGCCCAGGTCACTCTGAGGGTCCATACTGGGAGTGTGGCTGTCATCTGGAGCTGTCACAGCCTGGCCACTCTACATATAGTGTCGACAAGGGCACATTAGAGTCTTCTTTTGCCCCAGGACTCCCAGATCCTGATCTGAGACCCCTCCCAGTACCTCCAGGACTGACCTCAATCTCCCCTCAGGAATTCTACACACTAACCTGTGTCTTCTGGAAGGAGGGGGACAGCCAGCACTCCCAGGGGGGCTGGAGCCCTGAGGGCTGCCGCACAGAGCAGCCCTCCCCTTCCCAGGTGCTCTGCCACTGCAACCACCTCACCTATTTTGCTGTTCTCATGGTATGTGTGCCTCCCACCTGAGAGAGGGAAAGAGGGAGGGGGGGAGGGAGGGAGAGAGAGAGAGACAGAGACAGAGAGACAGAGACAGACAGAGAGACAGAGACAGACAGAGACAGAGAGACAGAGACAGAGAGACAGAGACAGAGAGACAGAGAGACAGAGACAGAGATACAGAGACAGAGACAGAGACAGATACAGAGAGACACAGAGACACAGAGACAGACAGAGAGACAGAGACAGAAAGACAGAGAATAATACACTCAGTGGGCTCAGGTTTCTTAAAACAGCTCGTTTAGGCTTCTGGCATGGCTTGATCCAGGGGCTGAATATAATTAGGACAGGATTCTATCTCTGTTCCTCAATTGTGCTTGCTCTGGGCTGGCTGCCTCATAGCATAATAGTATGACTTCCAGGCATTTCAAGTTTATCCTCTGCTAGTGTTTTTATTTTTGGGTCCAGTCATGGGGCCTGAACTCTGGGCCTGGGCGCTGTCCCTCGGCTCAAGGCTAGCACTTTACCACCTGAGCCACAGCACCACTTCCAGCTTTTTTTTCTTTTTGCTTACGTGGTGCTGAGGAATCAAACCCAGGGCCTCATGCATGCAAAGCAAGCGCTCTACCACTAAGCCACCTTCCCAGCCCCCCTCCGCTAGTTTTTAGGCCAGAGTCTTTCCAGTTCTGCTATGAGTCTTGGTGTTGAGTCTCACTAGGTCCTGTGCGCATCCTTCAACAATCATTATGGGCAAAAGGAGGTAGGCCTGTGATTGGCCAGGCCTGTGACACTTGTCTGCACACGTGGAGGTGTGGGGCCTCCCTACCTGTGTGCATAGAGTTGTGGAGGGACATTGTAGAGGAGATGAGGGTGCAAGTTAACACTTCTGCCTTGGCGTTAAAAAAGAATTCTATTTATTACTTTTAAAATTGTTACGATAAAGGTGTCATACGAGGGATCACAGTTACATAAGTCAGGTAAAGAGTACATTTCTTTTTGGACAATGTCACCCCTTCTCTCACTCTCTCCTAGTTTTTCTCTACCAACCCCACCCACAAGGTGTATGGTTCATTTTCAACATAGTGTCTAGTGAGTACCACTGCTGCATTTGTTCATTCTTGGTCCCCCCATTTCTGTGCCTCTCTTTGCCTTCCCAAAGACAGATTAATGGACAAACATGACTAAAAGAAAAAAATCAGAACATAGGAAAAAAACCCTCATTTCCACTTCCTGGAGTTTGCTTTGATAAATATTATTTTATATGATGAGAGGCATGTAGGTATTGTGCCTTTGAGCTCCTCTCCTAAGAATATCCTTCTTGGGTCTCACAGTGTGTGAATGCCTGGAGTCCTGTCTCGGTGTATGTTAGATCTTGCTTCAGCATATGAGGGAAAACATGTGCCCTGGCTTTCTTCAAGCTTGGGTTGGGCTGGGCTGCAGGTTAGGGCTTGCAGCTGAGGTCTGGGGTGGCCCCTCTGGTGGAGCCTGTGAGGGCCTTGGTCTTTGGGTCTCAGCTCCCCTTCCTTCCTGCAGCAGCTCTCCCCAGCCCAGCTCCCCGCAGAGCTGCAGGCACCTCTGGAGTACATCTCCCTGGTGGGCTGCAGCGTCTCCATCTTGGCCTCACTGCTTGTCATCCTGCTGTACATCCAGGACAGGTAATTCCACCCCCAGCCAGGCCTGTGCATCCTGATCAAGCCTCCCTGATTTCCTGTCCAGGATGAGGCCCAAGCCATGGGCCCCTCCTCAGTTTCCCCATCCTATGTCTCTCTGAGCCCAGGGGTGGCACTGCCTAGGTAATGTCCCCAGGGAACCAAGGGCCTCCCCACCCTGCCCACAGGAAGCAGAGTGACTCCATCGCAAGCATCCATGTGAACCTGCACGTCTCCGTGCTGCTCCTGAACGTCACCTTCCTTCTGAGCTCCACTTTGGCCGTGGCCCCCGTGCCTGGGGTTGCGTGCACGGCACTGGCTGCCACCCTTCACTACACTCTGCTCAGCTGCCTCACCTGGATGGCTATGGAAGGCTTCAACCTCTACCTGCTCCTGGGCCGCGTCTACAACATCTACATTCACCACTACGTGCTCAAACTCTGTGCACTGGGCTGGGGTAACCGCTCTCCTCTCCCAGGGCCTCTTGAGCTCTCCAACAGGCAGGGTGCTAGTCCCTCATTCGGCTCATCCTCAGCCTAGAGTGGCCCATTCCAGGCCCAGGCTCCAGGTTCCGAAGCTGGACTGCGTGGGGATGGGGTTGTGGGAATGGGAAGGTCGTGAGTCTTTGTCCCCCTTTCAGGGGTTCCGGCCCTCCTGGTGCTGCTTCTCCTCACTGTGAAGAGCTCCGTGTATGGACCCTGCACAATTCCACTCGTCCACAACCAGGAAAACCACACAGGCTTCCAGAATGTGTCCATGTGAGTGTCCCGGATGTGTGGTCTTGCCAGCTGTGGTGGGAGGATTCAAGAGGGACCATGGCAGGCCAGGCCTCTGGCCAGGCCAGGCTGAGGGGCATGGAGGGGGCTGTGGCTTAGCTGGGATAGGTGGGGGGAGGAGGCTCTGCTCACCTCCTGCTAGAGCTAAAAGGGCGCCTGAGTTTTGCTCAGTGCTGGCTGACTCTAGAAAGGTGCCACAGCTCTGAGGCCAGGGCACCTGGGCCTCCGCCCTCCAGGCACACAGAGACAGCACCACCAGCATCACCCTGTGGTTCTAGCCTGCCGGCCTGGCTCAGTCTGTGCCTGATGCTCTGCCCTTGGGTACCTTGCTTTTCAGGCTCCAGGGGCACTGGACATTGATAAGTACCCCAGATCCCTTCCTACTCAGAGGAAAGACCGAGTGGGCAGGGGTAAGGGTGTGCTGTGGTGGTGGCTCAGCATGTGGGTGTCCCTTAGGCCTGGGGAACAGTCTGCTGCTGTCTCCTTTAACCCAGACATCCCAGCGTCAAGCAGTGAGAACAGTGAGAATGGTATGAGACACCCCAGGAGCTCTATCTGCATAATCTGGCTTTCCTTCCATTCCTTCTGTGGCCCTGGCCACTTAGAGATGTGGCGCTCACTCACACCAGGGACAGGCCCTTTGGCAGTCCTGCTTCACAGTTAGGGCACACCCCAAAATCCAGGCTGAGGTGGGAGTTGACCCCAGCCAGCCAGCACCACCTCTGTGTGTGCCCAGCAGGAGAGCTGGGAGTGAGTTCATCATTTCCCTGGGAGGCTGTGTTGGTGGCTCCGAAGAATGTGTCTGTATTTTATTTTTATTTTTGTCCTTGTACTGGAGCTTGAACTCAGGGTGTCATACTCCTGCTTGGCTTTATGGCTCAAATTTGGCATTCTACCACTGCTCTATGTCTGGTTTCTTGCTGGTTAACTGGAGATAGGAGTCTCACAGACATTACCCACCTAGTCTGGGTCTGACCCATGATCCTTAGAGCGCAGCTTCCTGGGTAGCCAGGATTACAGGCATGAGCCACTGGCACTGGGCTGAAGATGTATTTTATTATATAACATGTGACATGGACCAGAGAGTTGAAGGGACACTTCTACAAGGCAGGAGGCATATCAGTGCATGGACACTGCGGATCCCACACTATAGGAAGCAGCCCTTCCTATTCCTGCTCTATTCTCCTCCAGCCCGGGATGCTGTGACCCTGATCCCTGAAACTTTCACTCTGCATTTTAAGAATCACTTGAGATACATGCACACTTGGAACCCACATGACAACAGAAGTACTAGCAGACACAGAGTAATTCAACTGTGATGGGCCACCGTGGCTGGGAAGGAAGGCATCACACTATACTTACCAGCCTGGAGAACACCCCAATAGTGTCAGGGAACCCTGTGATCCCAGTGGGGGAGCCCTTGGGACAGCTCTGGGCAGGTGACACCGATGGCCAGAGCATCGGGCTCACACCGAGGAGCTTCGGGTCACCTTAGCCTGGGTGGTGTGCATTTCTCAGCCAGCACCCTAACATCCTCATCTGGGTGGTGGTGGGGGCGTGGGCTTCCTGTCTCCTGGTCGTCATGGGAACTGCCTGGGATATCACACGTCAGGCAGATGACCTTGTGTCTGGCTCAGGAGACAGCGCTTGTTCTGAAGGTGTGCTGGAAGATCCGAAGGCCACAGGGAGGGCCTAGGTCCTGGGATCAGGCCCTGAACGCTTTTCCCTTGCTGAGGCTGAGCCCTCTGTGGGATTTTCCTGCTCTTTCCTCTGCCTCACATTCCCAAATGCAGAGCCCCATCCACCAAACCAGAGGGTAGGGCACCACATGCTGTTCTAGGCTGGCTTCCAGGCTGGGTGGCAGTGGCAGAATTATGGCAACGGTGTGGTAGGGCAGAAGGGGACATATTCAGGGTCCTGTAGGATGCTGTACAGTGGCAAAGGGCTAAGGAGAGGGGAGAGAGACACACTCATCTCACTTACCTGACCCAGGTAAGGCTAAAAGGCAGGCATGGCAGGGCTTCAGAAAGGGGACCAAGGGGACTGGTGGCTCATGTTGTAGTGAGCTGGTTGGGTGCTGGATGACCAGCAGCAGACAATGATTAGAGCAGAAAGCCCAGACAAGGCTGAGGCAGTCCCTTGGGCCCAGTGTGCCTGGCCTCCCTCTGACCTTGGGGTGGGCTGACCCTGGCCTTCACCCCCCCCCCCCATCCCGCAGGTGCTGGGTGTGTAGCCCAGTGGTGCACAGTGTGCTGGTCATGGGCTATGGTGGCCTCATGTCCCTGTTTAACCTGGTGGTGCTGGCCTGGGCGCTGTGGGCCCTGCGCAGGCTGCGAGCTGGCCAGAAGGCACCGAGGACCCGGGCCTGCCGGGACACTGTCACCGTGCTAGGCCTCACTGTACTGCTGGGCACCACCTGGGCCTTAGCTTTCTTCTCCTTCAGCGTCTTCCTACTGCCCCAGCTCTTCCTCTTCACAATCTCCAACTCGTTCTATGGTAAGATCAATGGGTGGCAGGTGGGCGCAGGTGGTGGGCAGCTGGTGGGATGCTTGGGGAAGGGGCTGAATCCACAGCTGTGTTTGTGCCCACCTGCTCTGCATGGAGGATGGGCTCTACCCTGACTGGCACACTCAGAGTCCCTCTGTCCCCCAACTGTAAGTGGCTGTGACCCCAGGGAGGCCCAGCTACTCCAGCTGTGGGAGGTCCCCTGAATTCTGGGTGAGGTCCCTCACTACCTGGTGATGCCCCCTGCAACCTGGCTTATCTTTCAGGCTTCTTCCTCTTCCTGTGGTTCTGCTCCCAGAGGTGCCACTCCCAAGCAGAGGCTAAGACAGAGATGGAGAGGATCAGCTCTTCCCAGATGACCACACACTGACCTGGCCTCCTGGTCCGGAGCCCCAGGTCCTGGCTCACAGCGCAAGAGGTAGCAGGTCTACAGCTGGGCTCGGAGGCCCCTGTGCCCCCTCTCCTCCAGACGACAGGGCCGAGCTCTGGCATTCTGCTCTAAGGTGGTCCAGTTTCACCTGTGTGTGGGGGAGGGGGCAGCCCCAGCCTACTGGAGAGTCAGGAAGCCTTGTTGCAAGGCCTAGCTCTAATGCTCTGTGGCTATTATTTCTCATGGAACAACCCCCTCTCCCCCACTGCCTTCCCAGTCTCCTCATCTGTGACATTGGGGCCATAGGCTGTGGTTCTGTCTAGCCCAGGAGCTTTGTGGGGTGGGGTGGGGAGGGCATCAGTGTGGGGTAGAATCCTTACCCGCTCTCCCCCATGATCTCTTATCTACCTGCTGGAGGTTGGGTCCACTGCCCACTTCTGGCCCCTGGCCTCTGCCCCCCTGCTGGTATGTTGAAGCCCACCAGTTCTGAGACCTCACTATATTTTTCTTCTGCAACCCAAGGATGATGGCCTTAACTCAAAGCCCACCTTACCCAAAGATGGAGAAGCGCCAGTCCTTCCCAGGTCTCCCGCTCAGCGCTCCAAACACCTGGCTTTTTAGGAGATAAAAGGGAGTGCTTCATTCCTTGCAGCTGAGCCCGCTGGGCCTCAGGGACCCTGCTGTTAGATGATCAGACTGGACTGGGTTTTCTCTGGTGGACAATCAGATGTGGGTGTGAAATCCCAAGCTCTGACCACACTCCCAGAGCATCGCTATTGCCTCAGACCTGCCTGCCAGAGGGGAAGAGAAGGCCCTCGAATCCAGTGCTTTTCCCAACATGGACACCAGGGGGAGCTGCTGACCTGTACGCAGCGCCATTGGCTTCCTAAACTGAGATGGTCAAGGGTCTGTGAAACCAGAGCTTCCTCCGGAGAATCTGCTACCTCCAGGACTGAGCTCCCTGGATTCTGGCCAGATGATTTCAGGGAAATGCCAATCCTGTTCTGCATCCGTGTGTCTCTTTCTCCAGTGTACCTGGCAGAGGTTGTTTTCCAGGGGGCTGGGCCTCAGGCATTAGAACAGCTGGTGGAAGTAGATTTCCACTCCAGCTCATCAGACAGTTTTATGCCCTTGAGCCTCACAGGAAGGGAAATGGATCGCTGTCCTGTGTGTGTGTGTGTGTGTGTGTGTTTTTTGGGGGGGGATCCACTACCATTCTGTATATCTCTGGATGATACTTGCTAGCTGTGTGACTGTAGAAAAGTCACTCTTCTCTGTGCCTTTGTCTTTCCAGTTGTTCAACTATTTTGAAGATTGAGTAAAATAATCCACGTGGAGGCTTGGCTCAGAGTTAGTGCTCCTTCAATGGGTTATTTTTGCCATTTATGTTTTTGTAATTAACAGAATTAATGCCAGGCACTGATGGTTCACGCCTTGCAATCTTAGCTACTCAGGAGGCTGAGATCTGGAGGATCATGGTTCAAAGTTAGCCCAGGGGATAGGGTAGGGCGGGTGGGAACTCCACAAGACTAATCTCAAGTTAACCAGCAAAATGCCAGACTGGATGCATGGTTCAAGTGGTAGAGTACCATCGGTGAGCACAAAAAGCTGAGTGAAAGCACAAGGCCTGGAGTTCAGGCCCCAGTACCGGCACAACAACAACAACAAACCAACAAACATACCACAGTCGAGTCCATCCGAGGCCATGCCATCTGAGACCCAGGCTCAGGTCTGTTCCACCTCCCAGCTCCTTAGACACATCCTGCATCCCTGGTGCAGTCCTCACCCCCACCTCTCCTGGAGGACTCATAGCTATTGTAGGAATGGTCCTCTTCCTCCAGGAGAGCCTCCGGGCTATCCCTCCCTGTCACCAGCCCCAGCTCCTCAGCTGACTCTGGTGGGTCCTTTGTTACAACGGCGTTCCCCCTCCCCCCCTCAGGCTGGGGAAGAGATGGGCCAGGACCCCCCGCCCCCCCACTCCTACCTCAGACTCCCGCAAGCCTTGAGCTGCTTGAGAGAGAATGTGGGGGGAGTGTGGTGACATAGGATGGTTCCAGAAAACAGATCCCAAGCTGTGCCTTCCCCCCCCACCCCAAGTCCTGCAGGGCTCCAGGGTGGGCACTGCTTCCTGGAAACGCTCCATAGGGGTGGGGTAGGGTCTGAGGGGCCCCTTTCTCTCCTCCCCAGCCCTAATGGGGCATCCAGACCCGGGGGATGGTGAGGGGTAAGGCAGGGGAGATTGTTTAGGGGGGCTCTGCTTAGGGCCAGAGAATGTCAGGAGGAGCTTGGGGAAGGGGACCTTGGCCGCCATTGGTGTGTTTCCGGGCTGTCGGCCCTGTGGGAGTGGGGGCTGGGTGTTAAAGGCAGAGCTGCGGGATGAAACCTAGGAAACTCATCTTGGAGGCAGACACACTCACAAATCATCCATCGTCAATCTGAAATTCAAATTGAGCTGTGTCCTATATACCCATTTCTATTTTTGCTCCATCTGGCAATCTTATTGGCAAGAACATTGGCTCAGGAGTCCTGGGTATGAACCTTCACCCCTCACCTCAGCCCAGCCAGATGCTCCCTGGGCAGCCCCTCTGCCCACAGAGAGCCCACCCAAGTCTAAGCTGTCCCCGTAACCCCAGTTCAAGCCAAACCCACTGCCAGAAACCCCACAGTCTGTCCTGGGGCACTCCTACTCCTGCTCCTAACGCTGGCTCAGAACCAGCCTCCATCTCTGCAGACCTGGCTCACAAGCCTCCCTGCCTCCCACTCCCAGCCCCTGCAGACACGCCCACTTTGATCAGGACTTGGGATCCAGCCTGCACCCCTCTCCAACTCATCCCCCACCTCTTCTTCCCCATCCTCTTCCTCAGGGTCCCTGGCAGTCTTTCTTGTCTGGGACTCTGTCCCTGTCTGGAACTTTCTTCTCGAGCTTGGCTTTCGTGGTGTAATGACAACACATCTTAAGGCTCAGGGCTGTATGTGCTCCCCACCACCATCCCCACCCCAGTTTCTGATGGGACCAGAACCTGCTCTTGACCTCTGTGCCCTTCTCCCAGGCAGAGGCCGCAGCCAGAGCCTTCTCTGTATAGAAGTCTCCATATTCCTCCACATTGTAACTGTTCCTGTCTGAGCTGCCAGACGGGGAGCGTTTGGGAGACAGGTGCTCCGTCTCATTTGCTCACCCATCCATCACTTAACTGCTACACTCTTGTATTTTGGGCTCTACGCTAGTTTCTAAGTTTAGGGAAGTGAGCGAGTCACCATTCCAGTGTGTGTTTGTGTGTGTGTGGAGTTGTCACTCAGGAAGCTGCTTTACAAATAAAGATAAGTCAGGGCAGATGGTGACGCGTGTGGTGAGGGAAGTTAAGGAGGGTGAGGGGCAGCGGCCCGGGCTGCTTCCTGGAGGGCAAGGCCCAGCTGGAGGCTATGGTCCTGTGGTGATTGTGAATTTGGGGGTTGGGAAGAAAGGGAGGTGAGGCTCCCATGAGGAATAGCTCTGGATAGAGGGCACTGTGGCCTGGGGAGGAGCCCTCTCTGTAAGACAGAAGCACAAGCAACATGAGGTTCGCCCAGGAGGACACCCACAGAGGCAGATCAAGCAGTAGGCTTCTATAGAAATCTTTTCAAGCGAGGGGCTGGGAAGGTGGCTCAGTGGTAGAGCGCTTGCCTTGCATGCCTGAGGCCCTGGGTTCGATTCCCCAGCACCACATAAGCATAAAGAAAAAAGCTGGAAGTGGCGCTGTGGCTCAAGTGGTAGAGCGCTAGCCTTGAGCTGAAGAGCTGAAGGATTGCGCCCAGCCAGGCCCAGAGTTCAGGCCCCACGATTGGACCCTCCCCCCCCCCAAAAAAGAAATCTTTCCAAGCCACAAGAGTACTGGGAAGACACCAGGAGTGAGCGTCACCAGAAGCAAAAGCAACAGGTTTATACGCCCAGCAACAGAGTGATGGTCACAAAGATGAACATATCAAACAAGGAAGACGGGGGACAAAGAGAGAGAGGGAAGAGGAAGAAGGAGAAGGAAAAGGAGAGAAAGAAAGAAAATAGGAGGAGGAAAAGGAGAAGTAAGAGGAGGAAGAATGGAATTTCTAGAAATAAAAATAGAATTCAAAAATCTAGGGGCTGGGAAGGTGGCTCAGTGGTAGAGCGCTTGCCTTGCATGTCTGAGGCCCTGGGTTCGATTCCTCAGCACCACATGAGCAAAAAGAAAAAAGCCGGAAGTGACGCTGCAGCTCAAGCGGTAGAGCGCTAGCCTTGAGCTGAAGAGCTGAGGGACAGTGCCCAGGCCCAGAGTTCAAGCCCCACGACCGGACCAAAAAAAAAAAAAAAATCTAGCTGGGTGGCTCATGCCTGCAATCTGAGCTACTAATGAGGCTGAGATCTGAGGATCATGGTTCAAAGCCAGTCGAGGCAGGAAAGTCCATGAGACTCTTATCTCCAATAAACTACCAGAAAACTGCAAGTGGCACTGTGGCTCAAGTGGCATTGTGGGTCAAATGGTAGAGCGTTAGCCTTGAGCTGAAGAGCTGAGGGACAGTGCCCAGGCTCAGAGTTCAAGCCCCACGCTGACAAAAATAAAATAAAAAAAATATATATGAATTCCCAAATTTAAAATTTAGCGATACATAAAGAATTAGCCTGTCCGGCATCAGTGGCTCACGCCTGTAATCCTAGCTACTCAGGAGGCTGAGATCTGAGGATTGTGGTTCAAAGCCACTCCAGACATGAAAGTCTATAAAACTCTTATCTCCAATAAACCGCTCAGAAAGCCAGAAGTGGCACTGTGGCTAAAGTGGTAGAGCATTAGCCTTGAGCTGAAGAGCTGAGGGACATGCCCAGGCCCAGAGTTCAAGCCCCACAACTAACAAAAAACAAAAATAAAACAAAAAAACCCACGGAATTAGTGAGTCTAAAGTTAATTTATAAAGAAATGCAGTGAAGCCGGGTATGATGGTATACATCTGTAATCCCAGCTCTTGGGAGGCTAAGGAAGCAGGGTCACAAGTTCAAAGCCAGCCTGGGCTACATAAGGAGACTCCATCTTAAAAGACAAACAACAAAGCAAAACAAAAAACCAACAAAAAAGCAAGCAAACAAAATGGTAGCAAAAGAGTTATGATAAATGATAATATGAAGAATGATTAAGAGGTACAGAGAGCAGAATGAGAAAATCTTACAAAGAGACATCCCCGAGGAAGAAAATAAAGACAATGGAAAAGAGGAGATATTTTTAGATAAAGTGAAAGAAAAGCAGAACCACAGAACCAGGGACACAAAGCTTGTCAAGCAAAATACATAAAAGCGAGCCTGAGCCCGAGCTTCGCGCATTTTATTGGGAGTAGAGGATGTCAGAGGCAGAGACCGGATGAAAGCAGTCATTGAGAAAGGACAGCTTGTGTACGAGGCTACAGAAGGCGAGCTGGCTTCTCAGCCTCCTGAGAGAGGCGGAGAGACCGGAATAAAACCTCTGAAGTGACAAGAACAAACAAATATCAACTCAGCGTCACTCCTGCAAAACACCCTTTTAAGAACCGAAGACAAAAAAAGAATTAATAACAACCACAAACCACCCCACACATTCCAACACCTATAGGTAAACAAAGGGCTGAGTCCAAAAGATGTATTTCAAGGAGGAAAGGATTCCAGGTGCATCTGAGATGCATGAACCAATAGTGACCATGGAAAATAGTAACTATAGAGAAATTCACTATAGAGTCGTCTGTTTAGCTGAGGGACTCAAACCTGTAATCCTAGCTGCTCCAACCCAGGTTGGAGAGTCTGTGAAACTCTTGTCTCAAATTAGCTACCAAAATACACCCCCAACAAGGTGCTGGGAAGGTGGCTCAGTGGTAGAGCGCTTGCCTTGCATGCCTGAGGCCCTGGGTTCGATTCCTCAGCACCACATCAGCAAAAAGAAAAAAGCCGGAAGTGGTGCTGTGGCTCAAGTGGTAGAGTGCTAGCCTTGAGCTGAAGAGCTGAGGGACAGCGCCCAGGCTAAGAGTTCAAGCCTCATGACCGACAAAAACAAAAACAAAAAACTGGAAGTGGAACTGTGGATCAAGTAGTAGAGCACTGGCCTTATGCCCAAAAACGAAGAGACAGCACCAGGCCTTGAGTTCAAGCCCCAGGACCAGCACAAGGAAAAAAAGACGTCATTTGTTTGGTGGTGGCTTACACCTGTAATCCTATTTACTCAGGAGGCTGAGAGTAGGGTGATTAAGGATGATTAAGTCCATGAGATTCCCATCTCCAGTTAACCAGCAAAAAGCCAGGCTGGAGGTGTGGTTCAGGTGGTAGAATACCAACTGAACAAGCTCAAGGCCCTGAATTCAAATTCTAGGACCAAAAAAGTTTACAA